ACGGTGATGCAATGCTGTAATACCATAGTAATGTTACAAATTAACAAAAAGATTTCGAATAATGGAAAACAAATAGTACTAGCCATATCGTAGCAGCACAACTATGAAAAAATACAATATTAACCTGGGGAAAAGTTTGGAGAGCGGATAAGAAAGAGTTGAACGAAATATCTATGATTAATGTGTTCAAATGCATTATCAGAAAAAAACTGGTTATTTTCGAGATGAAATCGAGTAGATAATATTACGCACATCCAGAATAGTGAACCAAATAAAAAGGTTCTGCAGGAATCAGCGCAAAAGTGCCTCATAGTAGTAGAGACAACGCTTAATGGACGTTCGCCTGCATATATGTCGGAGATATCTTTGTCGCTTTAACGTCGGTAAACCTGAGAATTTTTATAATTTTCTAACGCCTTAAAGATCCTAAATCCTGAAAAATATGTGTTTAAACATAGATAGATAGAAACATAGAAGATATGACCTAGAGCCTTCATCCGAAAGAAATCAGGTCTACTCAAGCGGAAGGGGAGATTTATTGGAACAGTCCACTTCTGCAACAAGCTATGGCGAGAACGACAGAAGCCCAAGTATCAACGAAATCGTAACTCCATTGGAATTACTTTATTTACGTTATTTATAATTACAAAGAAACTCTGACTCAAGCAACCTCGTTCTCTTCAAACTGTCTTGGAAAAACGACTCGATAGTATTTGGCACCTACTTGGGTTCGTAGTAGGATAGGAAATAGCCAAGGACAATTTATACTGTGATATCTCTATACCTAATACAACGCTTTGGAATTGCTTTCAGTGTCGGCAGGCCAAAATAACATGACATACCTTGGCACCTATTGGTAATTTCGATCCTACAAGGTTAGAACATATCAATTGACCAGACTGGACCTCTACCTATATCAAAAGGAAAACATTATCTAACATTCGTGACTAGATTTTCAAGTTGGTCCGAAGTAATGCAAAAAGATAGAAGCATCAACATAATAATGTCTTTATCGCCAGGCCGATTTCCCCTTTTCGGTAAACCGTTGCGATGACCCAGGGTAATCAATATCATTCATAGAAAATTTTGCACAACAGATTACTATTCAACCGCCAACAATTTTATTATGCCATTTTATATTAGAGATTTTCATTAAGTTCTACACATAATGAGTTGAATATTGGCGTAGGGCGAATCTGTTGAAGTTCCTGATGAGTTTCTAATGACTTGAGAAGGAACAGGAACGAAAGGTATTGAGGGGACAACTTCTTTAAAGACCTGGGTACAAAATTTATTCACATGTCTGATACGCCAGTGAAGTAAACATTCCACGATACATCTTCTTATAAGGAAAATATATAAGGAAAAATAGGCCATCGTCTTGATTTGGCTTAGAAACAACTCCTAGAATGTTAAAAACACTAACAGGGGATCTCTGTAGCTTACATATGGTATCGTAAATCTAACACAATTCAGGGAAACACTGCGCGAAGAATGTATAAGACGTGGAAATAATAAATTGCATTGGTCGCGTCCAAAGATACTTCCCAGAAAAAAAAACAGCTCGTATGCATAAAAGGATGACGATTCGCCCTAGTAAGAAGACACGCTAGGAACAAAACATAAAAAGTATATGATAATGAATAAGTTTTAAAGAGTGGAAAATATACAAATTAACAGAAATGTACCAAGGCAGGGATAAAAAATTTAAGTTTGTGAATTACGTTTAAATGATAAAACTAAGTCAAGAAAACCAGTACATGTCTTGTACTCATTTATGCGACAATCTAAATATATCAGTGTCGTGACTTGCAAAATATCATGCAAATCTCATACTTCATAAACCTTCGAAATGAATTCTCTACTTGACATACATATTTTATAATATCGATGTTGTCTTTATTTTTTTCATTTTAAATACGGACCATATAGTACATTATAGAAATTGAGATGCAATAGAAACACTTTATCGCAAAGAAAACGTTTAAAAGTTGTGTTCAAAATAATCCTGCTGTTATATTATTTTTTTATTTTCTCAAACGTTACCTACCTCAACCCACACATCTGTTTAAGAAAACAAGTTCATACAATTTGAGACTTTAGTTATGCACAACTGTCCTCGGATACATAGATTAGCCTAAAGGGATAATACACAATGTTTGAGAATTTAGATTGAAAGTCTGAGTCTGATGATCAGGTTCTTACAATCTAAATTAGAGAGTACATTGATCGAGAGTATATGTATGAGTCTATTGTAAGCATAAAAGTTTCATTACGAAATTCTGGTAATTTGAAACTGAGAGTTTTGAGGGGGATAATTTCTAACACTCAAGCCTTTGACAATATAGAAAAACCAATACTATAACCTTCCTGCCATCAACTGATTTAATGATATTAGCAACGACGTCTGACGTTTATGAGAGATGAATGGATAAGTGGGATGATTCAGCTGATGACGGGACATAGTCCATTTAATGTATATTTAGGAAGGTTTCGACTAAGGGAGACGAACGGGATGTCTATGTGTGGGGTGACTGATGACACCCATCTTGCAAGAGTGCCCACATGGGAGGAGAATGGAGAGGAAAGAGAAGGTAAAGGAGGCTACCGAAATGAACAAGGTCAGTTTCCACTGCATTGGAAATATTGATTTGTCAATACATATGTATGTCGACAATATGGTAAATACGAAGCAAAGTTTCGGAGCCAACAATATTATTTGACTAACTTCATCAGATCCAACTAAATCACTTTTAATAGCGTCTATCAGAAATTTCTTATTCTGCCGCAAGAAACAAAATGAGCCTTAAATACCTGCGACAGGATTATTATCCAAATTATTCCTGATTACACTTGTTCTTTCGTTGTACAATGCCAAACGACCTAAAATTTTCCCGTAGTGTTGTGATATTGCCAATTAATAACCAAGAAAAATCCTCCAACTGGGATTCGAGTTGTTTCACGAACTCTAAATATTTTTCTTCTAAAAGTGCAAATTTGACGATCGTTTACATAATAGGGATTGTTGTGATATAATCAATAAAGTTCGATCAAGGAAAAGAAGATTCAGAACACGTCAGCATGAGACACCGCAAAGAAGTTTTTGATAGAATGATACAATAAAGTTATTACGGACACATAAGACGCAGTCTAAATGATATCAGCAATACCAGAAAAGCCATAACGGAACAGTCTAAAAAGGGTCCTAATATAATTTTAATTAATGCAATCGTTGGTTGTTCTGACAAAACCCAGAATGATTATCATAAATTAAATAATCTATAAAATTTGTGGATCAGAGTCCTGCAAGTCTATAAAGTTAATACTCTAAGGCCCACTTTTACCATCCTCCTGATAAACTATCTGAGGGATAGTTACCACGGTTACGGCGGTTTTAAACGCTCCATTGACTAATAGCTGGATTTATCTATTGGATATATTTATCAAGAGCTGGTAACAGAGCTGGTAAATTGAAACAACTTGTGTAGGTTTATAAGGCCAAAATTCTTTTTGGTAAAGAGGATACAAGTTTTTTGCAGTCTTCGGAACTTATAGCGTTCCACTCTAAGCGAAAGCGACCCTTTAGCGCTTCTTTTGAATGAATAGTGTGACGCCTAACTTTACGCTTCAATAAACCCCATAAATGCTCTATGGGTTAGGTTCGGAGATTGGGCAGGCCAGTCCAGGAGCTCTATATTATTTTCTCGAAACCAAGTCATTGTGGAGATAGCTTTGTGGCATGTTACGTTATCTTGTGGAAACTTAACATTGTGCAGATAGCTTGTGTCCAAGCTTGTGTCGCCAAAAAGTGACGTAAAAGAGGGCGCTAATGCTGATTCCAAGACATTTTTAGGGTGCTTAATACTTTTGGCCAAGACTGTATAACTGCATATAACTTTTGTTTAATTGCGCAGATCCAAAATACGAAATTTGCATTGGTCCAACATAAGATATCTGCGTAAATCATTAAGCAGCCATAATGACCCATAATTTTTCTAGTAAGGCCTTTTGCAGATAGTCCATTCAGATAAGAAGTAGATGTTTAATTTAAATTAAACATCTACTTGGAAAAAAATTCTTTGACGGGATTGGAAATCAGTTTAGAGATAGGAGCAGTTATTTCCAGGTTAATTTATATCAAGTCTTCCTCCTTTCTAATTTCCGTGTCTTCCCATATTATAAATTAACACATCCTGCGGGAAGCGACTAAAGTCGTTTTGCGGGGATTTCACATCTTGAACGGGAAGCGACTAAAGTTGTTTTTCACGGATTATTTATGCCCGCTACACGATAACATTTTGGCGGCAAAATACCCGCGCAAAATGTGTTAATGTCATCGTTTTTGCTAAAATCCTTCGTGATTTTAATTCAATTCCTATCATAACATAAAATGGCTCGTGACTTCCTGACTTCAGTGGAATAAGGTTCTCCCTATTAAAATCCTTCGCAGAATTACTTCAATTATTCAGATGCTGTATGTATTTTATGAAACCTTATGATAACACCAAATTTATCTGCTGCTTAACACATTCACAAAATACATCATGTATGTGGCTAAATGTCGTCACAGCATAGTGGGTAATTGGGGTATCAAAGGATATTAATATACCGAATCATTCAGTATGTATGAGACTCAACTTTTTAAGATTGAGTCTGTGAATAATTTTAGGAAATCACGTATATTCCCTATTTAAAAATCTATATATATTTTAATAACACCGCTTGTACTTATTATCAATATATAATTTCAAATTATTTACTAAGATTGTATAACAAACATTTATAAATCTGCAAATCGTCTAATTTAAAAACGTTTACCATTTGTTACCAATTTAAATAACAAGTCCACCTTAATTTCTTTTCTGATTTTTTCATGTAATGTTAATACTGAATTTTATATCGTGAAATCATTTGGCTCTGAAGCTATAAAACAAAAAGTAACTTTATTGTGATATTATCTGCATAACTTATGTTTTTATTATTTCTGGTTTTCATTTTAGCATTAATCGAAGAAGGTTACCACAGTACCAACCCATACCACAATTCCATCCATGCTACTGACGTCACTCAGGCAATGCACTGTTTTCTACAGGAAGAGAAGGTTTGTGTTACTTACAGCTTTATTCGTTCAGTTTGTTTTTCCGGCGATGAAAAAATATGAAAAGAACGTGATTTTGCTTTGTATATCGGCGTGTAATAAAAAAAATCTAGGTCGCTTGCGAGTGATGCCACGAAATCGGGTGTATATCAAATAATTTAAAGAAAACATAACAAAGATAAGTAAGCGGAGATTTTTTTTCAACCTTGGCATAGTTTTTAAGTTCGGAAACTTTTTTTTCGATATGAACAAATAAGTGAATTAACTTTGTTTTATTTGTAGATACGAAAACATGTGACGCCACTGGAGGTTATGGCTTCGCTTTTGGGGGCTGTAGCTCATGACCTCGAACATCCAGGGGTTAATCAACATTTTCTTATTTCAACTTCGAATCATCTTGCCATATTATATGAGGTACGATCAAACAATATTTTCAATTTTCTTTTCTCCTTTAGATGGGCGTATTTTTATTGGTTTTAAATTGTCGATCCCACACAATCGATTACTTCGCAATTTTTTACTTTCACGTTCCGTATAGGTTTCGATAAAATAGTTAAGGAGCGGCAGCAGTAAAAAGAGATTGGACTTTCGCAATTTATGGAGAGTCTCTGTAAAGCTCTTCCTTAACTGTTTTAATCTAAAGAACTGAATTGAACATCGTGATTGATCCGGGAAATTTGAACAAAACCGTAACGGTCAATTAACCTTGTCGGCATTCCTACTCAATGGTTCAGAATCTCCCTCCGGAGTAACAAATGATTTCCGCGATTGCTTTGATTTACATTAAAAGGCACTTTTTGCCGTCAGCCGAATTCCCAGTAGTAGCGAGTTTCTGCGAGAGCACAAAAGGCGGTTATTGGGCCGCTTTTGGACTGATTGATGACCTGACAAGTGTCTCCTCGGAGATTAAAGTGCACACTCCTTAACGAAAGCCTTTATGCTCGACGAATACGATGAATCTTTGAATCTTAAAACGACAGTTTCGCAATCCTACGTCGCCTTGAATAAATCTGATTTGATATTTCTATTAGCGGGCACTGTGATAGAATCATTTCTGGAACTGAAAGACGTTTATTCTTGTACGTTGATGTTTTTTTAAATCTATCTCATATTGGTCAAGGATATCATGGGTTCTATTTTTTTCTCGCGCTGATTAAATACGTTGTTTTTAACGTCAGCACGCGTTGACCCAAAAGGAAATACCTAGAACTTATTTCCATACGAGAATTTAATTCTTGTGATTTAAATAACAAACACCTTTTCTTTTCTAGAATATGTCTGTATTAGAAAATCATCATTGGAGGTCAGCTGTTGGGTGTCTTCTAGAAAGTGGAGTAGCTGATCAACTTCTCCCATTCAGAGGTGAACTTGAATATCAAATTCGCGATCTCATCTTAGCCACTGATATTAACAGACAACAAGAGTTCTTGACCAAATTTAAAGTATAAACATATGGTTTATTAATTGTTAATTTCTAAATTAATTAATATTTTTTATTTTTAGAACCACTTAGATGAAAACACATTAGATTTAAGTAGAAAAGAAGATCGACACTTTATACTCCAGATAGCTCTCAAATGCGCTGATATCTCGAATCCAACAAGGCCGTGGGACATTTCGCATAAATGGAGCCTGAAAGTTTGCGATGAATTTTTTAGGCAGGGCGAATTCGAACGGCAGCTCAATCTCCCGGTGACTTCCATTTGTGATCGGCAGCAAACTTCCATCGCGAAGATCCAGGCAGGATTCTTCCGTTTCGTCGTCACTCCTCTTTTTTCTGAGTGGCACCGATTTCTCAAAAGTCACCTTTCAACCCACATGATCGATCTTCTAGAATCTAACAAAAAGAAGTGGGAAGCTCAAGAAGCCGCCGAATTAGCGGAGAAAACTTGTGTTGTTATTGAAACTGTTGAACCCGAAACCGCTGTTAGCGATGAAGAGGAACGAGATGAAAGCAAAAGATCGTCTGGTACACCAAGTATTATAGAATTTATCAGACCCCCTTCGGTGTAAGTATTAATATTAATCAGTTCATTATCAATTCATTATGTATATGTGCATATGGCTTATTGCGGTTTGCATTTCTCTTGTGTAAATATAGATATCAAATATTTTAATTGGAGTTGATAAAATTATGATTAATATCGATTGTGATTTATATTCTGCTAATAAAAATGATTTTTTTGTAGTAATAAAGAATCTAGAAGAAAATCATTGGCGGTGCCAACGTTAGAAAGTGCTTTAGGAGTACGACGACATTCAGTACCGGTAAATATGGAACAACCACCACTGCCCAGAACGATCTATAGGAGAGAAAGTCTACCAATAGGTCGAAGTGCATCGGCACAATCTGGAAAGTCTGGTAATAGTCCAGTAAGAACGGAATCTCGAGTGTCTAGCGGTTTGCGCGAAGAAGACGAATTGATGAAATACAGCTCCCAATTATCCTTGCTATCAAATAGCAGTGGAGGTCTTCATCATTCGTCTCACTCTATGACCGAAAACGATCCAGAACGGCCGCTTAGCGCAGAAAACCTTTTACCAGAACCTAGTATAGCATCCATGACAAGCAGCGCGGCTGCTAGTAAGCTCACATGCGTTTTACAAGGGCTCTCCGGTCCTATTAAAGCTCTCACTAGACAGCAAACTTTCCCACCCCCAAATCCTTATATTCGAACTCGGTATATGTCTGCTACTGTGGAAATGTCAACGTGTGCAGAATCAGTTCGAGAAGGTAAATTTCTATCCAATATAAAACTTGCAATTATATTAAATTATTTATTTTGTATAGAGAGCAAATCAAGTTCTTCGAATATTTCTGATGAAAACATATCAAATCTTCCACAATACACAATTCCGTCAATAGCAGTGTTAAGTCCAAATAACGGTAGACCTTCGGAAATACTAGATGTACCAATGAATCAAAAACCATCGGCGTCTGGAAAGCGCGAACCGGATACCGTTGAAAAAGAGAAAGCGAGTAAAATACCAAAAATATCCGATATCGGCCAACGATACGAAAAGGAAAACGTCGATCCACGTCGAAATGGCACCGTAACTTCGTTGTCGAAACGAAGAGGTTCGGCACCTGTTGCTCAAACGCGTACTGACGAGAATATACCCCCTGCTGGCGGGGGGCTGTACTTGACAGATCCCCAAACGTTAAGGCGCGGCTCAGTACCTGTAGAAATTACTTCCCACAGACGTAAGTAAACTTTATTATTATTGTAACTTTAGCCCTCCAAAAGTTTAGGGAAAATGTAGGTCCTTGATGAACCTTAACATTGCCTCAAGGTCTTGTTCCCTTTTGTCGGTAGGTGTCAAAAGAACTTTACCGAAAATTTTGTTTTTGTCTCTGGCTCGTCGTTACAAAGTCGACAAGTTTGATCCTCAGTTTGTTCAATGTGAAAGAGGTGGTATTTTAGGGGCGCATGGCCGGTCAGGTAACCTGAGAGCGTCTTTAGATCCCCTTTGCTGAGACATAAAACCTCTTTGATTTTGTTTTGTCTGTGACCTGGAAGTTCTTTCCGGCGTAAGGCTACCTTTGAGGCCTCCCAACTGTTGATTATTTGTTTTAGGTGGCTTTTTTGTAGTCCACAACCGAGTTGGGGTCCAATGATGGGCGTATTCGCTGCCTCTCTGGCCAGCATGTGCGCCTTCTCGTTGCCCTCAATGTTGCTGTGACCTGGAATTCACCATAGAGTAACATCATTGCCCCTAATGAGTTCTCCCAGGTTGCTGGTACACTCTCTGATCAGTGCGAGGTCACACGTGTAAGCCTGAATTGCCTTTAGGGCGGCCTGACTGTCTGTGAAAATGTTTATGGATGCACTTTTCTGTCCCTTTTGTAGGTTCAAAATAGAGCAGAAGTTAGCAAGTACTTCTGCTCGAAAAATGGTTATATTAGGGGCAATTTAATTCGGCAAGTACTTCTGCTTGAAAAATGATTATATTAGGGGCAATTTAATGCGGTTATTTGGTCCACTGATGCCCATCCCTACTGTCTTTAAAGCATCCGTGTACCAGGCAAGGGCTCTTCTTTTTAGTTGAGACCCACCCTTCGTCCAATCATCCCTGCTTCTATGACCTTATCCGGTTGGTCGAAATTATATTCTGTCTGTATAAAGTCCGTGTTAATTTCAATCAAGTGATTTAGACATGGATCCTTGAAGATTTCGAGGTGTCCTCTGAGGTTACCCTGCATCAACTTGAGTGAAGAACCTGTTTTCAGTGATAACGCACTTAAAGCTGCTTCCTTTTGTATATAAAAATGGAGTGGTGTGTGACCGAGTAGGGCTTCTTGAGCAGCCGTTGAACAAGCTCTCATTGCACCCGTTATATTAAGACATGCTAACCGCTGGATTTGTGCCAGCTGTTGTTGTGCTGTCTTATGTTTTGTTTTTGGCCACCAAACCAGTGAGGCATAGGCGTTTAGGGTTTGGGATCTGAAGCTTGAGACCCCAGATGTTTCCTAGGAGCCTGCGGCAGTTCTGGTTAGCCATAATGGCCTTTTTCCTCACCTTGTCTAAGTGGGAGTTCCAGTTTAATTTACTGTCTAGTATTACCCCTAGGTATTTAACTTCTGTTTTGAGGTTAATAGTTCTGCTTTCAGTGAAAGGGACTATTTCGATTTTGTTTGGATTGATGCTGAGCACCAAGTGCTGGTGAGTAGTAGGGCTTTCTGCATTAGTTGAGTTATGATTTTATTTACCTCGTATTGTGATTACCAGGTCATCAGCATACCCCTGAATCAATCCAATTTTTGTTAAGTAAAGTTTGTTAAAGATTTATAATAATAATATCCTAATGAAATATTTTTGTTATAAGGTTTTGAAGATGATGGAAATTGTGATGATCATATAAGCAATATCGAACAATCCAATAATAATCCCTGGCAATGTCAAGAACGGAGAGGTTCAGCGCCGACCGATTTACCGCCGTTAGCAATGGAGCGTAGAGATCAATTGACCCGACATACTAGTCTTAATGGCAAAGCAGGGCGTCGGAAGAAGCATCTCCGAAGGCGCAGCTCGGGCGGGCCCGAAACCGTTTGCCTTCCCGAAGCGGCTTCAGACTCGTGGACGAGACTTCTGCTGCGCCGCAATGAGAATCCCGATATGCTGCTGGCTCGGCGACGAGGATCACTGCCTATTGAAGTGTTGACCGTTGGACATTCTGGCAAATGTAAGTAAATTTTTTGTTCTTGTTGGGTTATATTTTTTATTAAGCTTTCAATGGGATGTTGCTTTGAGAAAACGTAACAACTAAGTAATGTTTTGTTATATTTTTACATTGTCATTTAACCTACTTCGCTTTTGTTTATACAACTAAGGGTAGGCACACATGGTCGATTTGAATCGATTTGTTGGATTGGTTTGAAATCGCGATGTATTATCAATTTATAACCGACTAAATTGTTTAGTTGTTCATAAATCGTGTTGTATGCACACACATATCGATTTAGAAAGAACTTGTATTTATATTGTATTGAATATTGAATAATACCGGGAAATAATTCAAATTTTTAAAATAATGTAATTGAATTATTTTAATATACAGTGTGCTAATTAATTATCGTCGATAGTTGCACAACTTTTTAATCATAAGTGCACATCGACTCCTTTTGATTAAAAAATCGAGTTGATCTGCAGTTGTATTGTGTGCGCACTTACATTAAACATAATACATTTATGTGCATCGACTAAACTATCGGCCGACTAAAAATCGACCGTGTGTGCCTACCCTAAAACTCAAACTTAACACACCCCAGTAAACAAAAACGAAGTTTTACAAAACAATAAGTTCTAAAACTCTAAAATTCTAACAACTAGTTTATCTCTAAATCCCTCAAATTTAACCCTTTTTAATGGCTTAGTAAAAAAAGTCTGCTAAAGTATCTTCACTATTACAATGAATTAATTTAATTCGTTTTGACTTGACTATATCATGTATAAAATGAAAACGAATGTCAATATGTTTACTTCGTCTGTTTAAGATTCCATTATTGATCAAGTCATAGCATATTATTGTCTATCAGCATTGTTGTTTGTATTTCTTCACCAATCAACTCTTCCATAAAACTGTTGATATGTAGTAACTCCTTACAGCTACTATAGGCTTCTGCGGTTGATAATGCAACGATTGGCTGTTTGCTCGTTGTCCAACCAATCGGTCCTTTATTTTAACATTATTACGTAACCACTAAAACTTTTGCGCGTATCTATACAATTTGCATAGTCGGCATCTGTAAATTCTTGCAGTTTTAAGTTTCTTATTCCAGTTCCAAGCATATATTCGATTCCAAAATCCTCGTTTGTATTTTTGACATATCTAGTTGCAAAGTTTACAGCGAAACTTATGTCTGGTCTGGTTTTGTTAGTTAAGTATAGTAAACTGCACTTACTTTCACATTAAATACACTACCCATTAAGAATTAGACTACATTTTGAAACTTCGATAAAATAATGCTTTAGTATCAACTAAGAAACGATGAAAGTTTAGAACAAAACAAAAATTAACATTTTTCAAGAATAAGCTAGTAGTGGGTTGCATCCCCACGCGCACCTATGCATGCATTAACTCTTCTACCCATGCTCTCTATTAAGTAGTCGATGTCCTCCTGGGGTATCTCGTTCCATACAACCTCTAGATGAGGTCGAAGTTCATCCAGATTCTCAGGAGGCCTGAGTACTTATCTTAGTCGCCGAGCCATCATATCTCAGACATGTTCAATCGGCGACAAGTGCTGTGACTGTGCAGGCCAGGGCAAAATCCGTAATCCAACCTGCTCCAGGGACCTTCTTGTAACTACAGCAGTACGGGGTCTTACATTATCCTGTTGAAAAGTGGCATTCTGCAACGTCTGCATGAAAGGTACTACCACCGGTTTCAGGACGTTGTCGATGTAACGACGTGCGTTTAATGTGCCTAGAATGAATGTAAGGGGTGACCTTCGTCCAGTACGTATCGCCCCCAAACCATAACCCCAAGTGTTAAGCTGTGTGTCGTCTTTGAACGAACTTCAAATTCCGTCTATCCCCTCAATGTCGCCGCACCCTTCTACGACCGTCATTCACCCATAAACAAAACCTTGATTCATCACTGAAGACGATGTCATTCCATTGATAAACCCACCCTTGCCGTTCTTGATACAATGCAAGTCTGGCTGCTTTATGGGGAGGTGTTAATGGAAGCCGAAGGTAAGGACGGTACGAATGAAGCCCAAAGGAAGAAATTCTTCTGTAAACAGTTGCCATCGACAAGTGTCGGTTCAAAGCTCTCGTCCAATCCACAGTAATCGACCTTGTTGTTTGAAATCGATCCCTGTTAGCCATTCGCCTAAGAAGTCGGTCTTCACGTGCGTTGCTTCTTCAGGCGGGTCTTCCAGCAGGATGGCGCTTCTGAATACCTTCTTCGGACCATAAAGACTATATCTGAGGAACTGGAGTGTGGTCCCGATTCAGCTCAATCTTCCCAATCTCTCGGAATGAGAGACCCGCCTCTTTCATACCGATAATTCAGCCCCTATGAAAATCATTAATATGGGCAAAATTTCGACAACGTCGCACTGGGGGCATTACAAGGCGTCTACTTAAGAGTTTGACAATAAAATAAACTGACATTTGGTGGGCAGAAATTCATTAATTGCGAAACATAACAGTTGAGTTTTTTCGGCGGAAACTTTCATCGTTTCTTAGTTGATAATAAAGCATTTTACCGAAGTCTCAAAATTGTAGTTTGAATTTTAGTGGTTGGTGGATTTCATATGAAAGTGAGCAAAATAAGTCCATCGTCTACGCATATGGCTAATAAAATTGTTGTATCCTCATTTTTAAATACACACTGTTTGGTTTTGAGCTGTCTTAGGTCGTTTAGGACATACTGCTGTGGCAGTACGTGTACCTGTAGGAAAGGACAAGAAATCGGTCTTGGTTTTGAGTACTTTTTCGATTTCGACCTTTTCCAGCTCTTCTAACATGTTGGCCAGTCTCCTGAAACCGATTCCATAAATGCTAAATAACAGAAGGGGAAACTCGAAGATCCTTGCTAACATGTCGAATAGAGTGACCATGCTATATAACGGCGACAGCACGAGCAACTTGTATTTCACTAAGATGCCTCATGACGCTTCTAATCAACGAAAATTGACAACTGAATTCATTTGTCATCTTTAGTAGACTTTCATTCGCGAAATCAATGCATACTTGACATTTTTTCCACTTTGTTTTGCGTTATTAATTTACATTTTTAAGTGTAACTTAGAAGTAACTAAGAGTTGTAACATTGTTTTTGAAATTTTCTTTAGTTAAATATATGCAGTTACAGATTTCGAAAAAAGTGTTCCCCTAATTTTTTTGAGCAGTGTAGCATTGATTGAATAGCTCTGCCATTATTGTTTCATTCATTTTTGCAACTCCAATTTCTGTCAATTTATTTTCAAACTTCTTAAATAATCCTTCATTATTTGACATATTTGCACCTGAGTCAATTACAAATCCTATATCTTTACTTTCCATTTTTATTTCTTCTGTAAGAAAAGCTGTTTTTGTTTCCGTTTCTTTATTTCTAAAGTAACAATCCTTTGCAGCGTGATTCTTGCATATTCCACATTTGTCCTTTTGTTGTTCTTTCCACTATTTTCTCTACAGCTTCTTGCAATATGGCCTTTTTTATTGCACTTGAAGCACACTATTTCTTTATTTATTTCCTTCTTTTTATCTTCTTTAATTTTACAAAATGTTCTGATATGTCCTGGTTTTTTACAATTGAAGCAAGTTTTTTCTACCGATGTAAATCTGATCTAAACTGGTTCATTATTTAGTTTACCTTGTAATAATTCTTCTTCTTTTATTAATCTTGATATCAAGTTTGTTAAAGTTCTTTCATTTATAGATGTAGACTCCCGTGCGGTTCTGAAGAATCTGTAATTATTTGGTAAGGTTGGTATAATCTTTGACATCAACATGTCATCATCAATTTTTTGATTCAAAGCATTGCAACGAACAGCTATACATTTTCTAATTTTCCAATGTTTATCATCATATAATTTTCCTTTTCGTACGTATAATTAAAAAACTCCTGTAGAAGATTACACTTTTGCATCTCATTATCCCTTTGATAAATACTAGTCATTTTCTTGTAGGTACATCTCCGATGATGTATTACAGTTTATAATATGCATTATGCCCGGAATACACGAGCCTAGTTTTGTAAGCTAGGATAGCAAGCTAGTGCTAGTAAGCGAACAAACTAGTGCATCTGTCTTCGTGTATACAAAACTAGCTTTATTCCAGGCTGGTAAGCTAGTGTCTAAAGCTATTATAGTTTAATAGCTTGCCGTTATCGTTGCCATGTTTACTTGTTTATTTTTTCCTTTTTTTCTTTTGTAACCTCTTTTTCGTTTTTAGTCTCCCACTTTTTGTTAACGTGTCCCTTTTTTTAATAGTGCTACAACAGTAGTATTTCAGTGTTTACTGTTTTTTTTTATATGTTTTTAGCCTACCTTGCATGTACTGGCATATTCTGGGCCCATAACCTGTTGGGTTATATATTTTTATTAAGCTTTCAATGAGATGTTGCTTTGACAGAACGTAACAAGTTACAATTAGTGGCGCTTTGTTATATTTTTACATTGTCATTTAACCTACAGTTAGTCATAAAAGTCTACATACACTAAGTAAATTCACTCCAGTTAAATAATACGTAATATTGAACATTTCGTTTTAAAAATATGGATTACTATCTGAATGTAGACAATTTTGAAACATCATTACTATTTTATCATAATACAAGGATTAGGAAAAAAATTTGAACTAAAATTAACAGCTCACAAAAGTCTACATACCTATACATGTATAAAACTTGAAGTTATTAAATTAATCATAGTCAAATACAAAAATTTTAATATTTTGTAGGTCCACCTTGCAAATGGAGAACTGCCTAGAGATTCTCTGTTACACTGACTACTATTTCAGCCCAAGCTTTGTCTAGCGCATCTTTTAACGATTGCTTATTTTTAACATTGTATTTACGAACCCTTCGTTCTACCTCATCCCAATTGTGTTCAATAGGGTTGAGATCGGGCGATTGGGGCGGTGAATGTAGAGTTGTTTTGGTACGTTATAAAGAATCCATTCCCGGACAACATGAGCGGCATGCTTAGGGTTGTTGTCTTGTTGAAAGACCCACCGATTTTCAAGCCTTAAGCGCTCTGCTGATGTTTTCAAATTGCTTTGCAATATTTCCAAATACCGTCTATGGTGCCTCCACCATGTTTAACCACTTAAGTGTTTCATTTTTGTAAGAAAAGGTGTCTAAAAACTGTCACCTTATTTTGTTTTATTTTATCTTTCTTTAAGTCTTAAAAATATGAATCTGAAATTATTAAAAAAAAAAATGTTAAAACAGTTAAATTTATTCAATAAGAAATTTGGGTATGATATATTTTAAAATATTCAATGCACAATCCTACTTTACAACCTGGACAGTAGTATCTAGTCTCTTTTCGAACTTTTTTGCCGTTCTCCTTCCGTGAAAAACATACTTTGCATTGTCTGGTTGCTTATCGTTATTTGCCATAGGTGGTATCGTTTCTAAAAAATGTCTAGCAATTAAACGTATTGGAGACGGTGTTGTTGATGGACGTCCGGGTTTTTCTTCAACTTTTCCATATTTTTCGATAACTTTTTAAACGAGATCTAATCGAAATTCCAAATGAGATTTTAGACCTCCCTGTTTTGTATATATTATTGCCTGTTTTTCTGCCAAAAACGCGTTATTTAAAAAATTCTTACTTTCGCATGTTATTTGTATTTCCTCCAAAATGATTTAACAACTTTATTAGAAGACATGCCACTCAATATCTACAGAGAAATGTGGTTTCAACAAGATGGTTGCCCAGCTCATTATGCTTTTCCTGTACGGGATTGCATACAGAATACCCAGAAAGATGGATTGGGTAAAGATCTCGTGGTTAGATTACGTGGCCTCCTCATTCTCTGGGTCTAAATCCCCTTCATTTTCTTATTAGGATTGCATAAAAGAAACAGTGTATTAAAACCCGATTGAAAATCTTGCCGAACTGCGCCACAATATTTATACAGCAGTAGAAGAAATAAATGCAAAGAGATTTGCACAACTAGTAAAAAGATCTTTTCTGTGACGATGCAGAGCTTGTATTAGTGCCGACGGCAAATAATTTG